TTCTTCTTCTTCTTTTTCTTCTTCTTCTACTTCTTCTTCTTCTTCAAACTTTTGCTTTCCCTTGTTCTGACCTACTTTTAAGTTCAGCTGTGAGCCAGATGAGACAGGTAACATGCGTGAGTGGTTGGTGGGTGCTTTGGTGTGGTTTGCTCCTTCTTTGCTACCAAAGATCTGTCATCCTTATATATCTCTCCTCCTTCTTTTCTTTGCTTGTATGTTACTCTTAAGTAGTTAGTATTACCTTTATTTTTCGAAGTTTATATGACATATATATAAATATATTTGTGTTACAAGTGCTGTGTATACAAAACTCTTACTAATACTAAAACACTCACTGAACGTGTGGTTTTGCGGATTGTTGGAGGGTGCAACGGGCGGGTCCTACTTCTGTAAATTTTCCTTTTCGTCGTTTCTGTCTGTCTGCCTTACTTTTTCCCTGCACTAAATGACCATTATTGTATTGATGTGCTTCGCTTTATCGAAACAAACAATCAAACAAACAAACGTGTGGGGCTTATTTTTCCTTCTGTCACCAGGTGAGGCTGACTCACTCATCGCTCAGCACATGCGAGACGACGAGCGCGCTTTCTGTATCTTCAGCAACGACACAGACTTCTGCGTGTTCCCTGGCTCCTCCTACATGTCGCACGAGTTCTTCGACATGGGGGACGACCTTGGCCTTGGCCTCTTGTCTCTCTCGGCAAAAACGCCCGATAAGCTGGTCTGTGGGATCATATCTTCTGCAAACCTGGCAAGGTTTTTGAAAGTGAGTTTCACCATACATATTGTAATGTTTTATTGATGGTTTCATAATGACAATAAATCATAAATAGAAAAATATTACTGATAATCATAATGATGGGAATTTGTAGCGTATTATCCCCCTAAAAGGCTCTAAATGCTGTACAATGCAGTATTACTACTTTCGCTCTCTCTCTGTATTGCTGTCTCTTTCTCTCTCTCTCTCTCTCTCTCTCTCTCTCTCTCTCTCTCTCTCTCTCTCACTATATTTATATATATATTATATATCTATCTCTCTCTCTCTCTTTTTCTCTTTCTCACAGTTAAAAAAAAAGTGTATTGTCCTTGATCCTTCAACATGTTGGTGAAAAACAATATCCATACTTTATAGTAACACTTCAAATCTTCAGCACTTATTTGACTTATATGACCTATCTGAGTTGTGAGTAACCTAAAAGCTCTTACTGAGACTAAATTAAATGTTCTGAGGTTTTAAAAAAATTGTTGTTGTTTTTTTTCTTTCTAATTCCAGTTGCCATGTGAGGAAGCGTTGATAGAGATGGCTATTCTCGGAGGCAACGACTTCACCAGCCCGTACCTCCCGCAGTGCATCCCCGGGTTCTCTAGGTACTGCGGTCAGTTTGAGCTCCTGGCCCAGATGGTCACTCAGTTCCAGCAGGCCGAGATGTGCCCAGAGTTTGGACAGGCAATTGTGAGTTTTGATGTTCAATTGGGATACAGCTAATAATAATAATAATAATAATAATAATAATATTGATAATGATAACAATAATAATGATAATAATAATAATATAATAATAATAATTATGGTAACAAAAATAATGATGATGATGATGATTATAATAATAATAATAATAATAATAATAATAATAATATTAATAGTAATAATAATAATAATAATAATAATAACAACAATAACAGCAATAATACTAATCCTAATAATAATAATAAATAAAAGATTACTCAAAAGTAATTTTTTCTATTTTTGTTTACCCATTTCACTGTATTGGTGTTTAGAGTGTTATGTCATGAGAATTCTTTATGGTTATTTTTAACTGAGTATAAAGCTATTCTATGTGGGTGGTTGGCGGATGCTCTGGTGGGGTTTGCTCCTTCTTTCCTATCAAACATTTATTATCCTTATCCCTCCTTTTGTGTTCTTTTATATGTTTCTCTTTTGCTACACCTTTAATCTTCGGCACCTATGTATGCCTTAATTGTGTTGCAAGTGCTGTAAAACTTTTTACTTAAACAGAATCTCTTCTTCTTTTTCTTCTCCTTCTCCTTCTCCTTCTTCTTCTTCTTCTTCTTCTTCTTCTTCTTCTTCTTCTTCTTCTTCTTCTCCTTCTCCTTCTCCTTCTCCTTCTCCTTCTCCTTCTCCTTCTTCTTCTTCTTCTTCTCCTCCCCCTCCTCCCCCTCCTCCTCCTCCTCCTCCTTGAATCTATTCTATTCATCACAGAGTGCTAACCGAGGCTTGCGGGAGGCCGTGGAACATTCTCGGAAATTCTACACGTTGACCTTGGAAGACGAAGAAGAGAATCAGACGGGCTTTGTTTTCTCCGTCATCGCAGAAGGAGTGCGGCAGCTGAAGTACCCCAGCACGATCGTGGCGATGCATCGTGGGTTTTACTGGCGCAGACAGGTGTGTGGGTCTGGTGGAGGTGTGTGTGTGTGTGTGTGTGTGTGTGTATGTGTGTGTGTGTGTGTGTGTGGGGGTGTCTGTTTGTGGGGACAATTCGTTTTGTTATACGAAAGAGTTGTTGTTCTGCTCTCTGTTGCTTCTTTACGATTCTCTTCAGGCATTTTGCTATTTTGTCTGTCTCGAAAGGAAAAGAAGTATCAGATTATTTCAGGAATTAACCAAAAAAAATTGAAATAAAAGGTCTTCACTTCAGTAATAAGTTTCTTTTTTGTTTTTGTAATTTTCCTCTCTCTTTACATAATGTATGTTATTGGCAAAGTGTTCAAATGAACTTAGCCCAGAAAGAAACAATTTTCAGGAGAGAGAAAAAAACTGCTCATTCTTTTAACTCTCTTTCTACCCCCCTCCTCCCTCTTCAGCTTTACTACTGTCATAATATTGACCAGGAAACTAAAAACTCTTACCAACACATGCTCTCATAACCTTTTGCAGGTTATGAATACCATAAAACATTTAACTACAAAGAAAAAATTGAAAATAAACTAACAAAGTAAAATTGTAAACCCCCCCTCAACCCTCCTTAGGTACTTGAGGACCCGACCCCTGGACTGCCCACAGCAGAGGGAGCGTACTCTACCCTACGGTCGTTCGTTTATGCCTTGCTGTTACCTCCCTTCAAGCAGGTGACCACGGAATACGGCCGCACGCCCGGCCAGGTGCTGGAGGAAGTGCAGGTGGGCAAATAGGGCGGATGTTATATTTAGATTCCGATCATTCCGATGTCCAGCCTTCTGGCGGGTGCTCTGGTGTGGTTTGCTCTTTTTTTTTCTATTAAATGTTCAAGATGACATTGTCAGGGATCTGTCAGGGATCCTCCGTCATCACTTTTAAAAAGTGAAACGCCTCTGTCAATATCAGCTTTTCTGTGGCATGATTAAAGAGAGAAATCAAGAAAATGTCAGTGTACAGTATGACACGGTTAGGTTAAACACAGAAGACTTGAAATCGCACATCCGTCGAACTGTACGTACCGTCCCGTTTTTTTTCCTTCTCCGTCTATGTAAGATATCCCTCGAACTACGGATCTGTCGAACTACCAATGCTGGTCCTGACGAATTCGAGCTATGCGTGTTATACTGTATTTAGATGGATGGCAATGTAGAATTTTGTTAACTCCTAATCTCCAGCAAGACACTCTCAGTGGCTCGCAGTCGGAACGCCAATATCAAATTAGATTAGCGAAGCCTGTCCTGAGCATCTTTTTCTATCTGTTTCCATGATGTCCCCGCTTGTGTATGTATGTACTTGTGTTTCGTTGGTCAGGTACCCAAGCCTCCAGGGATGCCTTCACTGGCCGGTGTGAAGAAAAACTCGTTCCCGCGGAACATGGCGCTGTTTGAGAGGGTCATGTCTCACCTGGAGTACCAGCCTCCTGCCGAAGGTGAGATCATTTTTAAAAAAAAATGATGCTGTTCACTGAGACTGAAATCTGCGGGATGGCCCGATATTCTTCTCATCTCTAACTAACCCTCTTATCTTCGGCACTTATATGACTTAATTATGTTGCTAGTTCCGTAAAACTGTTTAGTTTTAGTAGAAGTTTTACGACGCTCGCAAACTGCTTAAAGTCATATGACTTTATAACTAAAATTTGATACAAATTCACAAACCTGCGGAAAAATGCGAGTTCCTCACTTTGATTATTTTGACGAGAGCCTGATTCCACCACGCTGCCTCACATATACATATTGTTTGACCCACATTTCTTCTTTGACTTGACCTGAACCAGGTCGCACTTTCTTCAAGCTGTACGGGATGCGGAAAGGTTTCCTGTGCCATCTGCTTCGCTACTTCCTGCTGCTCAACTGGGGCCAGAACCTCTTCCTGTCGGACCGAGAGTTCTACGTTGTCGCCGCTTGGTTGCTAGGCAACCACAACCACGAGCGGTACCGGAATGTCAAGATTGTGCCCAGCCCTCGCTGCGTCACGGTAGAGAGCTGGTTCCTGGTTAGTGACGCCTGTTTCTTTAGCGTTTTATTAATTATTATTCTTGCCACTGCTGTGTAGATGTATGTAATACTCGCTTGTGTTCTGCCAAACTGGTTCACATGGGCGGTTGGCAGGTGCTCTGGTGTGGTTTGCTCCTTCTCTCCTATCAAAGATCTGTCCTCCTGATCTCTCCTCCTTCTTTTTTGTGTTTGTTACTCTTTTGTAACACCTCTAATCTTCGGCACTTATATGACCTTATTGTGTTGCAAGGGCTGTATAGCTCGTACTAAAACTAAACTGGTTCACTTTCATTTATTTTCTTTTGGTTTATAAGTGATATTTTTGATGATGTATTTGCAGTTAGAGCAGTACAGGTATCTTATTCTTGACAGAGGGAAAATATATTATTGATTTTTAAAAATGTCTCTTGAATGAACTTTTTGTCTTGTGTGCATAAATGTAAATGGAAACTCTTCAGCACGGAAAGAGCTCATGTTTCATCATCTTTCAAGTTTTATCATGGTTTAAATTTGGGAGTTTTGTTATGACTTATGTGTCATTTCACATGGAAGAAGGATTCTTTTTGGGCTTTGCTGGAATAGAAATCAATGAATTCTTGCATGTTTGGAATTTATTTTGGCCTGTGGTATAAAGGTGAACATCACTGGAATTAAGGGATCAAGCCTAGAAATTTGTGAAACCTTTATGTCTAGGTTAAAGGATTTCTCTGTATTCATAGTTTTTCTCTTCAGTTGTGTGAGGTGTGCTGATAGAATCTGTTACTTTCCTAAAATATAGCCCCACGGATACAGGATACATCAAATTTACAAGTTGAGTTTGTATAATAACTTGTTTTGTATGCAAATGATAAAAGACATGTAAAACTTGCATTTAAAAAATGGCATCAGTTGAAAATAAAAAAAGTCCACCTTTGTTTCGTTTTTTTTTTTTGCGGATATCTGTATCCACATATTGCGAGAAGTCACTCATTTCGCCCTCACACCTCACAAATCTGCTTAAGAAATTCTGTATGGTGAGATCTGCTGATTATCAAATGTCAGAAGGGTTCAGATTTGTTTGCGTTGTTCTGTTCTGTTCCAGGCGTTGTATCGAACGGCGTACGCCTTCCTGGGCTCTGTGCTGGGACTGTGCCATGAGTTTCCTCCCCCGAGGGATCTCTTCTCCGGGGCCACGTGGGTGGTGCTCTACACAGGCCATGTTGTCAACGGTGAGTGTGTCACTTGGTCAAACACCGGCCTGTGCACAAAGCACCTTCGTTAGGATTAGGGCCATTCCAGGAAAACTAAAACTGTAGTGATATGCATAAAGCAGGGATTATCTTCTTCTTCTTCTTCTTCTTCTTCTTCTTTTCGTTCATCTCTAAATAGACCTGTCTCTGTAGGATTATGCGATTGTTCGGCCGCGACGCGACCGCGTTTTTTCGCGTAATTCTGCAACACTTGCATAATTTTGGGTTTCCCGCGTTTTTTCACGTTTTTTACCTTTATTTCACGTCTTTTACCTTTTTTTTTTTACAAAACAATTAATTAACGCCTCGCCATGTGACTAAAGGGAAATAATCACCGTAATAAGTCTCAATTAAGTGAAAAGTTGGTTATTTCCCTTGTTAGAAGATGTTGGTTATGGGTTGGGATTTTGTTCCTTTGAGAATGTTCAATTTTGCCCTCTGCTGATGTTTCATGTTTGACAGGTGTCCCTGGTTTTAGTAATGTGCCAGCATCAGAGGTCCAGATGTCCTTTTTTTTTTTTTACATTTTTCTTACCTCTATAGATCTAGATCTACAGCTGAAAGTTACAGAGATTATATTTTTTAGGGGTTTTTTTTCTTACTGATGTGTATTGTTGTTTTTCCAAATACACAACAAATTAGTGATACTGACATGTTTTGTTTGAAATTTTCTGTACATAAAACATGAAAATCATGAAAATTCGTGTTGAAAAAGTGCAAAACATGTCGTGAATGATGTTACGGTAGCTTGCATAATTTTTGCATAATTAGGCATTTTTTGGGGCATAATTTGGCCAACTAAATTTGCATAATTCTACGCAGACAGATAGACATCCCAGTCTATCGTGCAAAGGCTGCTGTTTGCTGCAAGCCCTCCAGGCCACCACAGAGCTTTGGGTCTCTCTGTCTAGTTTTGGGTCTCTCTCTCTAGGGTTGGGTCTCTCTTTCTAGTGTTGGGCCAGTATTTCCTTCTAAGCGCTCTCAGGGTTGGTGACCTGATTTCTAAGCAGTGGTAGAGCCATTAAACAAATTTTTTAAAATTTGTGTTAGAGGAAGGTTCAAAAAGAAAGAAAGAAAGAAAGAAAATGTTCTTCCCAGAGAATGTGTTTCACAGCTATGACTGGCAGTACTTCACAATTTCAATTGCTCAGTGTAAGTCTTTGTCATTTCTCACTTTTCAAAATTACGTACGGCAAAGTCTTACATTATAAGCTATTGATCTGAAGTTATGATATTATGTTTTTCCACAGTGTCATGAATGTCTCTGTAGAATATCCTAACTGGATTAAAACGTTTCTGATCCTTTTTCTTTTTACTTTTTGATCCAGATCCGAACCCAGACTTCCGAGAGCCGATGCCCCTGAGTGTGAGGATGCAGGAGATGGCAGAGGCGAGCGCGGTGGTCAGCGAGGTGGTCAAGGACAACCGACACGTGCTAAATAACGTGGTCAACGGGGTTCTTCCTCCAAACTTTAGGAGTTATTAACTCTTTATCTCCGAGGGGGGTAAACCCACTATGCTGGGGCCCTTTTTTGGTGCAAATCTAAAAATGACAAAAACGTCATTAAACGGGTCATGAAATCGAAACTAACAAACCTATATCGATAGTTCTTCATCTAATGAATGAACTTCCGGTATAAGAGACCTGTTTTCGGCAATTTCCAAAAAGTAATTTGATGTCGAAGTCGTCGTAAAAAATGTGCCAAAGCCGCTGTCAGCGACTCGCCAGCACAGGAGTTCCAACCGCAAGCCGCTGGGAGGGGCTTGCCGGAGATAAAGAGTTGAAGGTTTTGTCCTCTGTCAGGATTGTGACTAGGTTCATAGCTGCCGACCAGTTTGTTAAGAAATGTGTTTAATACGTTTTTGAGAGTCTGTGAGATGGAAGTCCGTTTTTATGTTTGAAAATATGTTTTCTTTGTTTTTTAGTTCTGTTGTATTGTTCCTTACAAATTGTCTGAGGCCGAAGAAAAATTATGAACTTTGAAGAACGGATTTGTGAATGATAATGCATATGAATCATGTTGAGTCACTTTGAGAGATCTTTTGCTGAGGGCAACTCGAAATAGCTTGAATTTATCGAATGCTCAAAAGTGTATGTTAAGGGTTTAGAAGGGGGTCACTTGAGCAATGCCCTTTATCTTGACCTGCTGTGTCTGTTTTTTGGTTTTGAGGAGCTGGCAGCTAGAGCTGGGCAAAGAATCGAATCTGGAACCGATTTCGGCGATCGTGTTTCCAGTTACTTTAATCATTAAAATCTTTTTTTTTTCTTTCTTTTTTTTTAAGTTCGAAAAATTAAAGTTGATGCTTCGTAGTGTTCCAAAATCAAGGTTATCCTAAATTCCCTGGATGTTTGGAGCCAACCAGGTAACCACCGGAAGAAATCACATCATTAGAAAGAAAGTAATTGGGTTCGGAGTCGATTCCTACGACTTCTAGCCTTCAATAATCGTCACTACTGGCAGCTATGCTATCTGTTGACTCAGTGATTGTCAGTTCAGTGATTGTGTAAGTGGCACGTTAAACAAGTCTTGTGAGTGCATGCAACCCTCAGATTCTGATCCTACAACCATCCCTGTGGTTTGAACCCTATCCGTACGTCGTGTTTTACTAACTATCGTATCCATACGACGTGGGGAACTCTGTGCCACCACTTTCCAAAGAGGAAATTTACTCGTTAATCCAATCCATACACTATGCATAGCAGTCTGTCAAAATGATTTTTGAGAAATACTGAAAGTTTTAAAGAGATGTTCGTACTGGAAGGATTCTAAAATGTGAAGAATACAACCCCAGGGGTACAAAATGACCCGAGGCGTACGGATAGTGTTAATTACTCCCTGATTGGTATGCTATTTTACACTACACTTTTTCGTGGGTGGTTGGCGGGAGCTCTGGTGTGGTTTGCTCCTTCTTTCCTTTAAAAAATCTATCGTCTCTATCTTCCCTCCTTCTTTTTTATGTTTGTTACTCTCTTGTAACACCTCTAATCTTCGGCACTTATATGACCTTTTTGTGTTGCAAGTGCCGTAAAACTCTTACTAAAACCAAACACTTTTTCCCTGTGGGTGGTCGTAGGCTTCAGCTGAACTCATAGCTTGTACATTCTGAATTGTTTTATGTGGCAAAGATGTTTTTTTGAGACATAAAAAGTGTTAAATGGCGTTAGTGGCGAAGTGCTTAGTGAGTTCAGTCTCTCAGATCTTTGCGTGTGTGTGTGTGTGTGTGTGTGTGTGTGTGTGTATGTGTGTGTGTGTGTGCGCGTGTAAATGATGATAAAATCTACCTTCTTCGTAGCTGAGCTCTCTGTGAGTTCAATTCCCAAGGTGAGAAATATTTTAATTGATAAATTAATGTCATATTATGAAATAAAGTTTTACGTAATTGTCAATTGTTTGCCTTGTGTGAGGTTGTTTGGAATTTCATCTTGGTGTTGTTTTCACTCAGGAATTGGATTTTGGACTGACGTATTAAAGTAAAGCACTGTTATCAATCAGTCAGATAAATGTTATCAAATCAACATGATGTTTTATAAACATTTTTATATATATATATGCAGACAGTTTACACCCCCATTGACACAATTTAAATCATGGGTGGTTAGCGGGTGCTTTGGTGTGGTTTGCTCCTTCTTTCTTATAAAAATCTATCGTCCTTATCTCCCCTCCTTCTTTTTTATGTTTAGTTACTCTCTTGTAACACCTCTAATCTTCTGGCGCTTATATGACCTTATGCAGTTGCGAGCGCCGTAAAACCTCTACTGAAACAAACTGGTGGGTAGTTGGGCGGTGCTCTAGTGTGGTTTGCTCTTTCTATCCCATCAAACATCTCTATCGCCCTTATTTCTTCTCCTTCTTTTCTTTGTTTGTTACTCTCTTGTAGTTGTAGCACCTCTAATCTTCGGCACTTATATGACCTTTTTGTGATGCAAGATAAGATAAGATAAGATACCTCTTTATTGTCCAGATCCTGGCACTTTGGTTTGGTGTTTCACCACATACCTACACTCACACTCAAACACACACACACACACACACACACACACACACACACACACACACACACACACACACACACACACACACACACACACACACACACATACGCGCACGCGCACACTCAAACAAACATGCACACACACTCAGTGGGTGGTTGGTAGGTGCTCTGGTGTGGTTTGCGCCTTCATTCCTATCAAACATCTATCTTCCTGATCTCTCCTTTTTTTTATGTTTGTTACTCTCTTGTAACACCTCTAATCTTCGGCACTTATATGACCTTATTGTGTTGCAAGTGTCGTAAAACACTAAAAAGAAAACACACACGCAGGCTTACTGTGACATGCATAACATAAATGAACAGTAATAAAATATACAATAATAATCTTAATCTAGATACATACTCAATGTTATTCTGATGTATGCTCTTAGTTAGGTCATATGAATACTTATACTAAGATGATTAACAATGAAGAATTTTGATGGATGGTGGTAAGAGCCGTAAAACTCTTACCAAAACTGAATAAGAACTCTGAAATGGACAACTTAAGTACACTTAAATGTGAGGCAGCGTGGTGGAATCAGGCTCTCGTCAAAATAATCAAAGTGAAGAAACTTGCATTTTTCCCCAGGTTTGTAAATTTTTATTTAACATTTTTTTTTGGCTCAACACCTTTCATGCGCATTAAAGAACTGATTTCTGTGTGGATTTTTCTGAAAAACGTTGATTAAAGGCACAAAAAATAAAAATTTTCAGTTACCACGGACTCTTAAGCTCTAAAATTACTCATCTTTGGCGGCCATTTTCTCATTAATTTTACCTCTGAAAACAGATGACCCCCACCTCCTTCATTCGCAAATATCTCGACTTGTATTCAAGATAAATGGATACTTTTTTCATCCAAATAAAGACAAGTGAACAAGCTTTAAGATGATACCAATAACTCTACATGCCCAAACATTGACGAGAGCCTGATTCCACCACGCTGCCTCACAAACAGTATGTTAGTGTAGAACGGGTATGTTGTGGGTGCTACTGCCAGTATCGGACTGTGGGTGGTAAGAGAAGGCGTCACTTGTAGGTCCTACTTCTTTATTTTCCTTCTATCGTTTCTGTCTTACTTTTTCCCAGCACTAAATGACTGTTAGTGGGTGGTTGGCGGGTGCTCTGGTGTGGTTTGCTTCTTATTTCCTATCAAACATCTATCGTCCTTATCTCCCCCTCCTTCTTTTTTTATGTTTGTTACTCTCTTGTAACACCTCTAATCTTCTGGCGCTCATATGACCTTATGCAGTTGTGAGCGTCGTAAAACCTCTACTAAAACTAAACAAAATGACTGTTATAGTGTCGATGTGCTTCTCCTTACACAAACAAACAAACAAACAAACAAATGTGAGGCAGCGTGGCGGAATCAGACTCGTCAAAATAATCAAAGTGAAGGAACTTGCATTTTTCCGCAGGTTTGTGAATTTTTATCAAATTTTTGTTTTTTGGTTCAACACCTTTCATGCGCATTAAAAAACTCATTTCTGTGAGGATTTTACTGAAAAACGTTAATTAAAGGCACAAAAAATGTAAATTTTCAGTTACCACGGACTCTTATATTATGGAAATAACTAATCTTTGGCGGCCATTTTCTCACTAATTTTACCTCTGAAAGCAGGTGACCCCCACCTCCTTCATTCGCAAATATCTCGACTTGTATTCAAGATAAATGGGAGAATACTTTTTTCATCCAAATAACCACAAGTGA